TTAGTTAACTTTGTGCTGAAAACAGTTTTGTATGTTGACGCGCTTTATCCAGATATTGACCAAATGAAAGCATGTTAGCAATCGAAAAATTGAATCTTAAGAAGAAAAAAATGAAAGATAAATAGTGTAGCAGAATTATGGGGGAAATGTTCATCATTTAGGTTGATGACACTTACTTGCAAGAAATATAGCAATTTATGAATTGTTGTTTAATGTAATAACGTGTGGTAATGTTGATTTTGACTGTATCAATTCCCGAATTGATTGTTTGAATGATGAGGTAAATTGGGTTAAAATCTGGTGGATTGAAGGGAAAAGATTGATAGTTTAATAGAATGAACCGATTGATGGACACGAATCAGGTTCCATTTATTGATTGTAAATTTAAATCAATATTTTTGGTTTTCATTGAGAGTGATCCCTAACAAAAGTAAGTAGTGAAACTCAAGTGTGGCTAATGATTTAAAGTTAATCGTAACAGTGTTTTCCGAGTAAATGTGGATTGAGATCAAGTTTACTAATATTGTACTCACTTAAGTTTGGAAACCTTATCCAACAGTTGTTGATGTTTAGTCCGATGAGGGTTTTAGTTGCAGAAAATTGAATAGAAACAAGTTGAGTCATTCCAAAAGTTACATAATGGTTGGGTTTCTTATCATCTTTTTCAACATTAATACTTATGTTTACTGTCAGACAGCAATACAGGATAATCTCGGTGAAACCCAGTGACACAATGAACACTCACATAATAAACTGGATTCCATGTTCTGGACTCAATGTCCAATGTCTTAAATCTTTCTCCAATTTTAAGAACATAAAAACCCACTTCAACTGCAAGAAATAAAGTAATCAATCTTTTTACGAGATCGGCTTTTTCCACCACATTTTAATCACTTTTTCACCTTACTGATGGAAATTGGTAAAAGTGATGGCGAAAAGTTCCTTTAAAATGGTAAGTGGGGTGGAAAAGCCGGTTCTTTCCATCCTTTAACATTGATGATTCATCATTGATGAATATTAGATCAAAAATAAAGAGTAGACTGTGAAAATAAATAAGATTGTAAAATGTAAATAATGTCGATGAAAGATGATAGTTGTAATAGTTAAATTACCTAATCTTAATGATTTAAGTCATAAAGAAATCAAACATTGAAAATGTAAGTTTAATGTAAGGAAAAATAATTTGTTGTTTTAGCGTCTACGGATAGATGTCTGTACAGTCAACTCTCTCTCTCTCTGTCTGTGTTTTGCTTCTGGAAATTTTTTCCCAAGCGTAAAAATTACATGTTTGTTGTAATTTTACTTGAATGAATTTGTGAAAAGTGAATGAATTGTGAAAAAATGTGTCCATATGGATTAAATGTGATTGTTTAAACTAATAATGTGGATTGATATCAACAATTAATTTGTCAACTGGACGGAAAAACAGTTTGATCACAAATAATTACTTTGATTTACTACATTCCAAGCCAATTATCATTTTAAAAACACATCAGTATCAATGGCTAAAGTTGGCTATTGGTGGAGTGAAAAGAAAACCCAACGATTTAACCAAAGTGAATTGGAACTTAAACTATCTGCCATCGGATTCAATCTGGTTAGGCTTGACCTGGACACCGATATAGCCAAACAAGGACCTTTCGTCGCCATCATTCATAAATTATCGGATATCCTTATAAAGGCAGATTCTGGTGATGAAAAAGCTTCTGGCATTATCAATGCTTTCCAAAATTATGTTAACACAAACCCAGAAGTTGTCATAATTGACCCTTTACCCAATCTTCGGATACTTCTTAGCCGGTATGAACAATATAAAATTATTAAGGATTGCCCATTAGCCTTTAAGGAAGGGTTTTCAACTCCTACTTTCGTGGAATTGACCAGTAAAGATTGTGAAATCAATCGACAAAAATTGATTGCCAATGATGTTAAATTTCCATTTGTTTGTAAACCTTTGGAAGCTCATGGAGGTTCTTTTGCTCATCAGATGTCTATAATCTTCAACGAAAAAGGATTGAAAGATATTAATCCACCTTGTGTTGCCCAAACCTTCATCAACCATAATGCAAAGTTGTTCAAGATTTTTGTAATTCATGAGAAATATTTTGTTGTTGACCGACCATCTTTGAAAAATTTCAAAGCCGGAGGTTAGTAATGTGACGTTAGTAATTAGATTAGACTTT